GCGTCGTACTCGTCGGGGCGACCAAAGGGGCCCGCACGGGCGGCATTAAAGAAGTTGATCAGCTCCGGATCGAATGCACCGCCTGTAAGTCCTTCCATGACGCGCCGCACCGCGACAAGTTTCTCCTCGGTGACTTGACGACCCACATCCCGTAGAAACATGCAGACATCTTCCGCCAGCTTCATCACGTGATGGTCCCAGAAACCCTCAAGAACAATTTTGTACGTCACCTCGGAGCCATTAATACCATCTTCCTCCGTGTTCTCAAAGACGAAGCGCTTGTTTCTCACTTTGGCTACCTCATACTCGTACCAGTCTTCCGTCTTCCAACAAAACGGGAACTGACTTCGGTCCACGGGGATGTTGCCAGCGCATGGCAACGGGGGCTCTGAGCGACCCACATCACGTTGCACTTGCATTGGACTCAAAACGCGTGCATGCTGATGTTTCTCCCGCACCGCACGGTCCATGATCGTCTCGAGTGTGGGCGGTGGTGTGGTCCTATTTGCTTCATTCATCTTTGTGAGGTAGGCATCCCGAAAGGGGAAACCTTTTTGTCCTTTTCCCTGGGACTTGCGCGGGTCGTAGCGGGCAAACTGTCGCATGTACTCCACGTACTCCCTACCCTTGGCATCAAACTCGTTGTACGGACGGAAGCGATAGGCATTGGGTGGGGCACTTGCGCTCCACGGTCGGTAGTCGCCAAGGTGGTGTGTCATGGATGTGCATACATACCAACTGTCGACATACTGATCTTCCGGCACATCCGGCCGCACCAGGGGGCCGCGGATACTCAATGGGAACTTGTCGTCGATAGGATCAATGAACTCATTTGTCTTTGTGCTGTTCATGTTTTGCGGCGCGGCAATGGGGGCAGGACCATCAAACTTCGGCATCTGCGTTGGCATACGGTAACGCGACCAGTAGTAATGATTCACAATGCCCCTGCGCATCACTCTCCCTCAACTCTACCCGCTCTCCTCTGCAATTTATTTGTCTATCGACGTGCCAATGTATTTTTCCTTGTGCTCCTTCCACCCCACCCCCAACCTTGTTCTTTTTTTTTTTTTTTTTAAAATTCCTTTAGCACATATGAGTCGATGCCCAGAAAGCAAAACAGCAAAAAAGGCAGATAAATACAGGAGGGGAAGCATGCCTTCGTAAATGTAAAAAATGCTCCACGTGGGTGTCAAGCCTTTTCTCTCACTATTTGTCTATTGACTCATTTCCTGCGGAGCCCATACACTGGTTCCACAGCACCATGAAAGGATAGATACATGCATGCACACACATATACCACACATAGGAAAACAAAAAACAAAAAAGACTCATTTATTTATTCTCTCCGGTTGGTTTATACGCCGCCGCCTCGTGCCGCGGGGTTTGTTTTTAAATCCAACACCCATCCAAACTGTCGTATGAACTCCTCCTTGGCACGGCAGCTGGCGGTATCTACGGGAGCCCGCAGGGCCTCCGCTGCCTCCGCCTCCTCTACAGTACGAAATACGGAAAACCACAAGAGACCATCCGCCACACCGCGAATGAGAGCTAATTTGCCGTTCCGCAGACTTTTTGTGAAGTGCACAATTTCCCCCGGGTGAAACCCAAAGCCAGTGTCATGCGTTGTGTCTAGCGTGATTTTGTCCCCAGACTTCGTTGTTGCTTCCATTATATTCCAAATGGCCTCTTTCCTTGTTTATACAAATGGGATTAAAAGAAGAAGAACGGCACATGAGTTGGATACGTATGCATCGTAAACACACGCGCGATGCCCTCCCCTTCTCTTTTTCTTCAATTCGCTCTTCCCTTCCCCGCTCCAGAGGCGTCTTCTAAGCATTTCATTCACCCCCCTCCACTCTTCTCCACGAGGAGGAGAAAAACAACAACAACAAACTCAATAACAATTCTTACTTCCTAACACACACATGAATGCACAGAGTGAGGGAGATGGTGGCAGTAATACTAAGGATAAGAAAGATCAGAGCGACGGTCTCAGATCCCACCATAGTGCTTCTGGCACCGATATTCCCACGCCAAAAGCTCATCACGTGCAATTCGTACCGTGAGTCATTGTGCAACCGCATCCAATCCTTGTCCTGTTCCCACGTCGCACCCCAGTCGCCGTGGGGGATGCGCAGCGACTTTGGCACCGCTGGAGACCGTGCGACGTCTGTCCAGCCGATGCGATGAAGCGCCGCCTCAATGGCTGCTTGTGTGTCGGTGATTCGACTGTTCGCCATGTCGCCCACGCTGTAGTCTGGCGCCATAAACTCCGCCACATCGTTTGGCGCGGAGAGAAATTTGCATTGCAAATTCTCCGTAAAGCATCCCCACAGCTGCTCCACAAGACTGCGATTTACCGACGTTACGGGAGGGCTCTCAGCTGCGTTTTGCGTGGGAGGGAGTAGCACACGCAGCATGACATCAGCCGCCTCCGCAACAGACGCTGGACGAAGTGCGGAGTGTTCCGTTGTCTTATCAACGACAGTAAAAACGTCAGGATTTGCAAATGTCGTGTTGTACCGAGTAAGTGTGAGGAACACTTTTTCGCCCGCTATCACCGCAGGGAGAAGATCCAACAACGTTGTGATGGGGGAGTACGGCAGACGTGTGGTGGAGGCTCGGCGGACGCCACTCTTTTCCATTTCCAGCTCCGCCTTTTGCTGCTGCGCCGATCCCGTCGTCCCCACGCGGCTGTCGACATGGTAATACAGTGGGGCGTCTTGGTAGGCTACCTGATCCACAACAAGAAACGTATCGATGGCGTTGAAATCCACCGTAGTAAAGTTCAGGTTTTCTTTGTATGCCAGCGCTGTGCAGTTGCTGAGGCCGGCGTGGACACACTCCAGCATCGTCGCGTCGGAGATGAAGCGGGCACTCCCGATACTGCCCACGTGCTCGCCAGGGAAAAAAAAGGCGTACACATCGCGGCTGTCATCCCCACCCACGCGCCGCAGTGCCTCCAGTACCGACAATGTTGCCACGATGGCGCTGGCGGGGCAGTCCGCGCCAGGAGTTGCATCCTGGACAAGCGATACTGCTGTAGAAGCCACCAGCAATGCAACGGCGCCTTTCCGCGTCTTCTTTTCAAAGTCCAATGAAGTTTCGTTCCACTCCCACCGCATGTCAGCGGTGCTCGTCCACACAGTCCAGCCGCTCAACGGAACACATGATGGCGAGGGGCCTTCCAAGCAACTTCGCACCCTCGTGGGTGACGATAATAACTCCGCAAGTGGCATGCCATTTCGTGTCTCCAATACATTCTGCGGGTACCTGCGGCCCGCAGCCCAGTGAATACGGTTGAACTCGGCAGCATTCATAAGAGCCGTCCAGTCACTATTTGCTGGGCCACTGCTGCTGGTAGCGGCACTGGGAAAGTAGAGGATAACAAATTCATACACGCTCCTCACTTCGCGAGGAAGCAACAACTCCTCACCGCTGCGGCGATCTCCAGAGAAACGACAACATCGGTTGTCGTCCGAGAATGCCACTGCTGTAATGGGTGGCATCAAACCCTGCGTATGTTTATTTGCTACCGCATTGTAGTGCTGCACAGCAGCCAGAAAACATGTCATGTCATACTGAGTATTCGTTTTCACCCTGTTTTTCCTCCCTCCCTCCTCATAGTCGTCCTTTTCACTTGTCGACAAGACGAGTCCAATGCCACTTGTGGAGACTGTATCAGGAATTGAGAGCCCGCGAATAATCTCTTGCAGTGACGATGCGTTATCCTCGCAGCCATCCATCGATGCCTGCGCCACTTCGGTCGCATGGAGGAGGAGAAGGCCATGCGGTACGACGGCGTTGTCAGCGATACTGCAGCCCCTGTACGCAACGGAGTTGTTGCTCTGGTCATCACTTTTCACTGCCATAAACACCGCCTTCATGATGCAGGGACGCATTATTGGGTAGTTGCGAAAGTAGGCTGCGTACGCTGCATCGTGTGGTGCAGGCGGGACATCACCAGAAAAGCCCCTTTCTGCAGTGGCGCCACATGTCATGAGCCACGCAGCAATCCACAACACAAAGATCGATGTCCACTCGGTGGGTCCACGTGGACACCCGCTCACACAAACCATTCGTCTCCGCAACATTCACTTTATACGCAACCTACTTTTGATTCGTCAAAGAAGAAGAAAGAAAGTGAGAGATAGATAGTAGAGTAGAAGATCTTCCTTTCAAACAAACATATATACCATACGGGAAGGGAAAGAGAGAAATAAAAAATAAGAAAAATCTCATGATGTGGAGGGCATTAGTGGATCGGATTCCTTTATCTTGGTGGCTGAAATATTGTCCGCAACGATGCATGGGATGCAAGAGCTGCTGTTGGCGTCTCACTCGTCCAGTCGTGCCTGTTTGTGGACCAAACATCGTCAGGGATCGCCCGCGGCGCACACCTGTACAAGGCACAATCAGGGTCAAAGCACTTTTGCACCCACACGCGCTGCTGCAAGTCGACGGTGATGTAGACATTGTTCGAGAGGTGCTGCCGTCCCACGTTACTGCAGTAGCGTGACCCATCGAGCAGAAAAAACAGGTACCGTCCACCGCGTTGACGCACACTACTCACTCGGCAAGGAACCCCACCAACAATGCTCCATTCCCGTGCCACGTGCTCCGCCAGGGCGTCATAGCGCGCTCTATCGACGTCCTTCGTTAACTGAGTCTCTCCGCTGCCGTATTTGCAACCCTCATTTGACGAAGCCGCTCCAAAGGTGCTAATAGTTGGTGCCGGAACTAAAATCACTTCCCGGTGCCCCACCTGCAGGGTCACAAGAGAGTCGAAAAAGAGTGCCACTCTGTCTGCCGTCGTCGGGATTGTTCCAGTGGGGAAGTTGGCGGAAACATTTCGCTCCACCGTGAGAATGCTTCTCTTGTGCAGCTTACAACTCCCGAGGCAGCGCAGCATGCGGTTTCGACTGTACACGGCGGTGTCGATGACGCACCGAAGTGGAAGAAAAGGCAGGTGTCGTGAGGGCTGAGACGGAGGCAGAACGGCAAAATCCTTCGGTGAATCATGGTAGAAGAGTGCGACGTGCACACAAGGGTCCGCCACCGCCCGCTCGTACAAGTACTCCACAAACTGCCCCACAATTCGTCCGACGTCGGCGTTGCTGTTGAACCACTGTCCACCAAACTTCACAACGTAGTGCTGCGAGAACTTCCCACCCCGACCACCCTCCTTTTCCGTCGCGTCCAAAGACCGCATTACCATCACTTCTACGCCAGGCCCCAGCGGTGCTGCCGTACTGTTGTCATCAGTTGGAAGAACAGTGTCATCCTCATCTTCAAAGGCACCATGATTCTCCGAGTCACGTGATTTCACCAATGCAGGGTATGTGCTGCAAAGAAACCGGCGGAGCTCTGTAAGCAGTACCGTCGTCGTCTCACTGTTGTCAGCGCGCAGTCGGCAGTTCCACGCACAACAACGCGGCGGTTTCCATAGGGCTGTTGACAAGGCCGCCGAATACTCCTCTGCCCTCCGGCACTCGTATATAACCCTGTTCTCTTCACTGTCGTCATCCACAACGCTTACGACGGGAAGCCATGCGGAGTAATCCTTCTCGCGCTCGACGTCAAGGTACATGTGACATGGCGCTCCCTCGCGTATCACCTCATACAAGTGCTGCTGCAGTGGCTCAATCTCTCGCACCACACGCGCCAGACCATTGACGGTTGCCGCAAGAAACATTCTCGTCTGCGAGGAGAGCGGCGTGACGCCATAAAACACCGCGTAATCTTCCCGGAGCACAACCCGACGTTGACGTTTCCCCTCGCAAAAATATTTGGCCTCATCGTCAGTCTTCCGCGTGTCCTCCCCATGCATGCTCAAAGGCCGTTTGCGGAACAGCCTGCCACGTGCACCACCGCTACCGGAATGAGTGGGAATCGCCGCCGCAGATGCACGGAGCGACCGCGACGCCAACTCACGCACCACCTCTTCCTCTGAGGGGAGCTCGATACTGAACGGCAGCCATTTTGGTGCGGAATGCGCCTGTTGCCCCTCCTCTTCATTCTGCGCGTCGATAAAGTCAAAGAGTTTCTGCTGCGTCGGAAAGAGTTGACAGTCATCCGCGGCAAAGTGTGTAACGAATGTCGACTTGCACCAAAACATCGGTGCTCCAGCTGTCCCACATGAGTTCCTTCAACCCCCTTCTGCACAAAGACCCTGAAACAGAAGGTGAATGATGGAAAAAAAGAAAGAAATACACACACACACACACAGGACACACTCACACGCACAATCATTTTGTTTTCTTCTCTCCAGCATCACGTGCCATCCAACTCGGGCAAATACACACACACACAAAAAAAAACCGGAAATCTCTCCTTACACCGCAGTGGAATTCCTCTCCTTCATCGTGTGGAGATCGTGCAGGACGGCACCAAGGTACGCCCTGCACGCCGACTCACGTGCGACGGTGTAACGTGTCGCAATGGCGCGACCGGCAGTACGGCCCTCGCCGCTACCAACAACAAGCGACACCTCGAAGAGACGTCTGTGAGGCCGGTTGAACCGGTCAAGATATTGGGCGAGCGGCTCACCGTCGGTCGAGAAGGGCACCCCATTCCGCATGTCGGAGCGTGTGTCGTAGAAGAGCGGGTCTCGAACGGAATTTCTAAACTTCAGACGTGTGACTCGCTGCGCATTGACAGGCTGAGGTATCCCGTACAAATCGGCAAAGTAATTTGCCACGGCGGTAAAGTCCACAGCGTTGTAGAAGGCTGCGCCTCGCCTGTAGCGCTCCCGCTCCTCCGGGTGAAGCCATCCGTCATCGTCGTCATGCTCGTCCCGGATCGCGTCGCGTAATAGCCCTCGTCCCTCCTGAAGCTCCCGTTGCGCCCGCTGACGCCACGTGTTGATGCCGTCTATCCCACCCGGGCCAGCCGCAAGCGATGCAAGCACGCCGGGGTTGGCGGCAATTCCATCAATTGTCATTGCGTCACGTGTCGCGTCCTGCACACCGAACCCACTGCACAAAACGGCCTCCTCCACGCTCTTCTTTCCAGCCACCTCGTCACCATCTTCCTCTCCCTCCCTCGTCGCCTCGTCTGACAGCACACGTGTCTTGGTGACAAAACGCAACGGCAGCCCTTGCGCGGCAAGCACCGCTTCCGTGACGTTTCCAGCGGGAAAATGCTGCAAAGTGCGTAGCAGGAGCGCCGCCGCACCACTGGGGAGGTTCATTTCCACGTCCCCGTAGGTGTGTGACAAAACCCGCCGCACCACATCACTGCCCAACGTCTGCTGCAGGGCGCCTATAAAATGAGAGAACATCCAGCCAAGAGGACTTTGCCCGGCACGCAGTGGCGTGACCTGAAAAGACGTCCCCGCAACATCGTGTTCCCGCAGTCCAACATACTGCGGCTCCAGAAATGCAAGCCTGTCCCCTGTCGTTTTGCCACCGTCATCGGCGAGAAGGCTATCGAGATTCAGCGGGACCGCAAGCTCATCAAAATGCAGCTCTTTTGCAAATAGGCGCAAAGTGAAGTGATTGTGCAAAACCGCATTAAGTTGCCTTGTCGCGTTCGTTGTTAGCACAAGACCGGCGTGTATGGCGTATCGCAGCATTGCCTGGGAAAGAAAGTCATCGATGATAGTGTCGCCAAGCATTGTGAGGTGATGGCTCTCCATTGTAAAATATGGAGTAAAAAGAGGGCTGAACAGCTGGTACTTTGAACGCATTGCCACTTCCCGCGCAAAGTTATCGCCATGCGCCTCGACAATATCCCGCAGCCCACAGCGAAGGAAGAGAGCCTGCAGCTTGCTCGGCGGCACGGCACGGGACAACAAGGAGAGGCGTGAGCGGCGGTAAACCATTGAACTTTGGCGCACCCGCTGCCCGCTATAAATCCCCTTCCTCCTTACCTCCTGCTCGCACACACACACAAATAAATAAAGAGAAAAAAACATGCAATTATCGGACACATATCAACCAACAGAAAAATGAAAGTAAAAATATGGAGACACACAGAGAAAGTAATTTAGATATGCATATATGTTCCCTTTTTATATCCATACGCACCCAAAAATTTATACACATTTAGGCTATAAGGTGCAACGTGGCGCGGAAACATCCGCCCAAAAAACATCATAACAACTAATCAAAGGAAAAAAAAGAAGTGAGGAGGGAGTTGAGACACCCTCACACACAGACGCATACACGCATAATGTATAAGAGATGAAACCCAACGTCTTGCAGTTCATTTTGGCCCGGTCATCATCTCATTTTGCATGTTCTTTTTGACAGTCCCTCTGTTTTGTTCCCTGTAAAGAAGGGATTCACCGTATGCATGTTGTATTATGAGGTACTACTAGTACCAGTAATGGTAATAGTAATGGCGAGATCGTGGGAAAGTATTCGGGAGTCTGTTTAAAAATTCTCTATCTTGTCGTAATTGCTCTCATCAACGCCTGGAAGGTCCGTGACGCTCACAATACTATAATTAATTGAGTCTTCGTACTCCTTCAACCCGGCGGCGATCTCTGGATGACACGGTGTCTCCAGTTCTGCTCTAACTTCTTTTTTCGGCTGCTGTTGTTGCCTGGCACCCGCGTGCTGCTCCCTTTCCTTTTCCCTTTCATCAGAAACAAAGGGGGTGGACGCAGGCAGCACTGACCCGGACGTCATCAACGGTTCTTGTCCTTGAAGCTGCGGTGCCTCACGCGCCATTGCGGCTGCAATCAACTGCTCTAGCGCCGATGACTCCAGTGAGCCTCGCAGCCGCCGCGCAGTGTTGCGCTCCAACTCGCCCACAAGGCTCAAGTTGCCCTCTTCCTCAAATACACCTAATGTCTGCTGCAGCCCGTGCACGCGTGCAAATTCCTCAATCAGTATCAGCGCCACGCGGCCCTCAGGCGAGAGGGCAGCTGGCAAAATTGTCTTTCCCACAGCAGCCGTGCGAAGATACGGGTCACCGCGAATGACGCTGATGGCCGCAGCACGGAGTTGTGCGCGCAACTTCCCCAACACGCCGGCATTCCGCAGCGCCGTGGCAAACGCGTCCTGTAGCTCAAGCAGCGTCGTGTTGATTTCATTCACATCCTCCTCTGCGGGGTTTTCCTCCATCACACATATCACCTTCCCTTTTTCGTCTCTATTTTTCTTTTTTTTTCTGGTGTGTCTTCCCCTTCCGCTCCTGTACCGTTTTTTCCGAAGGCCTCCTGGCAGGGGTAGAGAAGAAGCGGTGTGTGTGTGTGTGGCCTGTGAAGCTCAAATAAACTCAACAAGGTGGAAAACACAAGAGAAAAAGGCAGAAGACAGAAGTGGACGTGCAGCAAGGGGTCCTCCCCTCGTAGAGACACACACACACACAGAAAGAGAGAGAGAGAGAAAAGAAAATAGGGAGGCTGATCGATAAAAGACATACGTTTGTAGTGTTAAAATAAAGTATTAGAGAGAGGCTGGAGGAATTTACAGCTCCACTGGCCTTTAGGTTTCAACGGATTTCCGTCGAGAGTTGCACGAGACCACCTTCTACACACGACATAAAAAGAAAATCCGAGACTATTGGAGACCCAATGAGAAAAAGCGGACCGTTCCATCGTCACTTGCCGTGGCCACTACACCAGAAACCTCACGGACTGTGAGGCTGAGGATCATACGGCGGTGCCCCATGAAGCGCAATAGTGGCTGTTGGTCCAGTGACCGCCCGTCCCACACCTTCACCTCGCCGTCGCTGCAGCCGGCAACGACAAAGTGGCCGTGCGCCCATACAGCGGGAATGACACTCTCGCCAACATTGAACACCACCCGAAGCGTGAGGTCTGCGGTGTTCCAGACGGCTATTGAACAGTCACAAGATGCGGAAATAAGAAGAGGCAGCGAACTGATGCGTTCAGCAGCGCTGCTATGACTGATACAAAGGCTTTCAATGGCTTGGCTGTGTTTCTCTTGCATGGAGGCGACAGCTCGCCCAGCGCGCAGCGAGATAACATGCATCGTGCCATCCTCACATCCCACGACGCAGCGGTCATCGTCTCCAAGAAAACAGAGCGCCGTGACAGATGCCCTGTCGGGACTGAGACCTTTCGTGATGTACGCCTCCTGCTCTCCAAACTTGGGGTTGAAGACGATGACACCGCCGTCGCCGCTGCCCGTCAGAAGCTTCTTGTGGTCTGGTGACCACGCCATGCACGTCACAGGGCCGCCGTGGCCAGCAAAGTACATGGCAAGCGTTCCTTTTGAAACATTCCACATGGCCGCCTGCGCGTCTTCGCCACCAGCGAGTACCACGAGGCTAGATGGGTGCCACAGGAGTGTCAGTATCTCGCCACTGAGATCGCGAAGACAGTGCCGCAACTCCCACGTTGACGTGGACCAGAGCGCTACGGCAGAGTCCATACCGCTGCTCGCGAGCCACTTCCCGTCTGGTGAGAACGCCAAAAGGCTGACCGTGTCACTGTGGCCTTGTAACACTGCCCTCGTTTCCACCGTGCGCCTGTCCGACGCGAGCTGCAGGATGTACACCTCGTCACTTTCCCCACTCGCCGCAAAGATTTGGGTGTCATGTGGATGGGCGGTGACAGCATGTAGCGGATGCCCATCACGTCCACGGAAAACGCAGAGGGCATCATCACGATCCGGTTCCCGGTCAGGAATGCCATTAAGATCCTCCGCGTCTCCTACCTCGTCCACATCACGTGCCCCGCAGGACTGCGTTTCCTCTTCCCCCCGCCCCCCGCCATCGTCGTCGTTGTCGTCGTCTTCGATTTCCGCCATCTTGCTTTCGTCGAGGATCTCATTGTTGGGGTCGTCGAGGTCCAAAAACGCTTCTCGCGGATCCTCCGCCTCCTCCTCCTCCACCTCTTCTGCCCTAATATGTGTTTCAAACGGACGATCCATCTCCCCTCTCCCTCTCCCTCTCCGTTTGCTTCTTCCCTTGCCTTTCCACTCTCTCCCTGTTCCGCCCTTCCCTCTTCTTTAGTCACGCCCCACCAAAGGGTTTGTTACAAGCAGGCAAAGGCAAAGAAAGAGCGGGTAGATTGGCACATGCACACAGAGACACACGTAAACACACCAATGTACAAGCACGCAGATGCATGCACACACACACAGAGAGAGAGAGAGAGAGAGAGGGGGGAGAAGAAGTCTGATGAAGCAAAAAAAGTACGCATACAAATAAATAAAAACAAGTATAATACAAAAAAGCAAAACACACACTAACGCATCATCATCAACAACAACAAAGAAAAAAAAGGGGGAATAAAGAAAAATCGCCACGGAGAATGTGCACTGCATCCACCATACCACAATCTGCTTGTCTTTCGGCCTTCAGGCAAATACACGGAGAGAAAAAGAGAAAAAAAAAAAAAGAAATATATATAAAAAAAATGCATAAAATCGCGCTACTCTCATTTCTCAAATAAATGAGAAAAAAAAAAAAAGATCGCCGCCGCACCCCCATACATTCCTCTTCTACACCGCTACATCACTGTTAACTCTCTTCGTGCGAGGCTTACCTCGTCCGTTACCCGCCTTTCCGCCTTGAGTATTCGGTCTGCATTTCGTTCCGGCACCTGCAGCTGCACCCACGGCGTCACCAGCTTCCCCAGAGGTCCGGGCAGCATTCGATTTTTCCACAACAGCCTTTATTTGGTCACGGATGGCCGCGTTATCAATCATGTTGACGTGCTTTGGCGTCAGCAAAATTTTCCGCTCTTGTACAAGTGACGTGATTGTAGACACAGCGGCGTCGCGCACCTCGCGGCTCTGGTGATTAATGCAGGGCCGCAGCAGCTTCCCCCACACACTCTCGGTATGGTTGCGCAGTCCCATGTGGCCAGCCGTTACTAATTGTTCGAAAACCGTCAGACGAGCGACCTGCACCCGGGGGCCGCAGCTTGGAAGCCGACGTCGCTCCTTGTCCAGCGGATGCGCAAGCACCGCTGTGAGGATCGTTGTATTTGTTAAAGAATGTGTCTTGATACACAATGTAAGCGTCGCCAGCGCTTCGTCACGGACGCGTTGATTGGAATCTGCGGCGCAACAAAGAAGTCGTGGCAACAAATTCACAACCGGCGCGAGCACAGAGGAGAGGCACTTGTGTTCGTCTGCCAGTACCATACGCACAAAGGCACAGCCCGCTGCAACAACGTTTGGAATCGTGTCCTGCAGCCCATGGCCGTTCATGTCAAGAAAGCGGAGCAGAGCCTCTTCCATCGCAGAAGGCGATGCCTGGTAAAGCTCACCCATTCGCTCCATGAGTACATCAAGCACCGCCTCACGCAGCTTGAAACGTTTGCTAAAAAGACAGCAAGTAGTAAACGTCCCCAAGACACCAAGAAGATCCAGCGCCTCACGGGTATTTTTCACGTAAGGATTAAGCACAGCTGGCCCATTTGTCTCGGAGGAGGCCGCCATGATGGCCTGCGCCACGCGGCGTTCCCAGGGCTGCAGCGTCGATTCCTCAATCTTTGGCGTGGGGGGGTTGTCATCACTCTTCTCCTGCGGTGGTGGGTCCACCTTGTCAATCTCATATGTCGTGTCTCGCACCATATCGACCATACGCTGTGCAAATTTTGACACCATTGGCATTGTATCCCCCTCATGTGCGTCACTATCACGATATTCATCAATATCCATTCTAATGTTATCTTTGTTTTCGTTGTTATTGTTATTGTTGCTATCCCTCTCATTCTTGTAACGGTGATCATCCGCGTCCATTCCATTGCTACTAATACTGTGATCCGCACCGTCGTCCCGACCACCCGTATCGCGTGGACTTTTATCTCTAGTACGTTCTTCACTAACATCGGCCATGTCACTGCGAGGGGGGTTGTAGTTGAGGTTCTCGTGGAACGTCTCACCGATACATTCATACTGGTCAAAGTCCGGTTGTGGTCGTGGCAACTGGGCATCCTTGTACACCCTCTCTATCATGGCGTCCATCACGCGTTTAGCTTCCTTCGCCGCGTCAAAGTCCTCTTCTATAATTGCCTGCACCTTGTCTTGCTCTATTTGGTAGATGCGCTTTGATCGCCGGTTCATGAGATTGAGGCGGTCGCGGCACAGCTTCGCAGTGTCAAAGTCTTCCACTGCAACCGCCTGGTCCTTCAGTGCGAGCAGCTCCTCTGAGCGACGGATGAAGAACTCCTCAAACTCGACGATGCGAACGGAGCGAAAGACAGGAATATCGTTGCCATGGGGGATGATTTCACGCACGGGGGTCAGTGGTGGCGATTGTGGCAACTGTTGCCGCGTCTGCTGCTGCGCACTATAAGGGGAACGCAGCTCTTGACGCAAAAAGGGCCGAAGTGGCGTTTTTTCCTCTTCTACCTGTTCTCGTTTTTGTTGTTCCTGACGTCTTCTGGTAGGGTCCAAGACCAGACCGTGCAACTGTTCGCTGCTTCTCACAGATTCCGTGAGGTCACCGCCGCTCATGCTTCTGCCGTTTTTGTTTTGTTGTTTCCAATGACGGGCGTTTTGTCAGGGGAGCACCACACGCGCGAGAGCATCTGCCCGTGGCACTCGATGGAGTACACCCCAACCTGATTGAACACATTCTGTGCGTTGCGGTACGGGGTGTGGAAGAGCAGCTTCACGAAGTACGCCACCGCATGCATGTGAATCGTCTTGCGCTCCTTTGAACGGTAATTCGACTGCTCATTGCTGTTAAAGTCCACCGCACCGAGCTTCGTGAAGTGAATGGTGCGAAACGACGGCGGGTGCATTTCCA